ACACACACACACACACACACACACATTTATATATATATATATATGTATATATATTTGTATATACAGGTGAACATAACTATTATTGTATTGTTTTGTTTATTTGCGAGTGGATTCTCCTATAATGCGTATATATATGCACACATATATTGTCTATACCATTTACTTCTCTCACCTCTGCTGTCGTTACATCCACCATAGGTACAACGCCTGAGTCTGCTTATTGGTCTGCTGGCCTACTTCATATCGCTCTCAATCTGTGCCTTGGTGGTATTGTATGAAGTAAACGTGTTCGATGATGTTTCTCCCGTGAAGATAGCAGTGCCGGTGGCTTCCAGCTTGGTACGCTATATCAACGACACAGTACCATGCTCAGATTTAGTGGACGAGTACACAGATCACGTGGTGAATATTTTAGAAGAATCAGGGTACGAAAACAAGACACGGAACGAAATCGCCGATTATATAGCGGAACAACTGGGCTACACCCGTCATTTGCATAACGCATTGGTTTTAGCTGGAGATAAGGACATGGCCAGTGCCGCTGTCGGCATTGTCATCACCGACTACTTGGAGGGAAATTATGAACAGTACAATAACACACAACAGTTGCGGTCTGATATCACGGCAGCGGTTGGGGATGACGCCACTCTGTGCCTTCAAGTGGCGACACTCTTGGCACTGAATACAGGTGTGATTGTTCAATGTTCATTTCGCTTCTAGTGGATGGTGCGGTGGGAAAGTAGCTAAGTAGTAGATTGTGCATGCTAAATGGGTGATGGCTTCTCATACATACTTTTCAATTGATTTTAGGTCGGTAAAATAGTAATACTGTACGTGCATGGGAATTCCTCGTTCTAAATGGCAAATTGTTGCTCTCACTGATTATTTCATTTTTTTCAAATTACAGGTAGTAGCATGGAATATAACGCAGAAGTCGATGATCTGACTGAATCGTTAGGCACCGAACTGACTGATGCACTAGGCCTCGGTGACCTCTTTGGCTATACCAGACAAGTATATTTGTTGCAAGCCAAAGAGGATGGGCTCGATGGCATGTTCATAGTGTGCACGTTGTGTTACACCCTCGCAGAAGTCCTGTTCGTGGTGGTCGGCATATTGGTATACAAGTACCGGAGCGAGCCAGAAATCTTTTCCAGGCATCGATTTTTCCTCATACACTTTAATGTCGGTGGACTAATTGTTCCTCCAGCAGCTCTACTACTAGTCGCCGTATCCACAGCACAATTGTCTCTGGACTACAAAACGAACGATACACTCTACACCGTGTTTGGTGCGGTGCTGAGTTTGATCGCGGTGATGGGTCCGATAAGCGCCGTATTTTTGAGGCAGCGTTTTATGTATCAGGTGTTCTGGAAAAGCGGGCCCAATACCAGCGATGCGCACTACTTCATCATGCTGCCGTGGTATCTGTTGCTCTCACTCGTTATCATTGCCACCGATGTTGTGAGCCACTATATAGACGCTGACCGGTCTGCCACGCAGTACATCAGCTACATCCCCATCTACATAGTGGCGGTGATTTTGGGCATAGAGTTCTCGTACTATGTCTGGCGTGTGCGTCATTCGTCCCACGTGTTTGTGGATGTGTGGCAAGCGTACCGCTTCCTCATCGCCTGGCTGCTGTCGTTCTTGATATTCCACTTTGCCGTCGCCCACCGCAACAGCATGGCATTGGGATCTGTGTCGGCCACGCTGCACCTCGTGGCCTGTTTGGTCGCTGCCTACGTTGACTTCTTCCTCTTACCTATCCTCAAGGTGTTCGGCCGACGAAATGGTCTGCATATCTTAGAAGGTTATGACTTCGCGGGGTGTACCTTAGGGATCGATTTTAACCATGTAGAGCTGGTGCTGGACGATCCCGAGGCCTGTGCGCTATTATTAGATTTCTTGCGCAATCGGGTCTGCAGCGAAGGGGTCGAGTTTCTGATTGAGCTGCGAGACCTGCAGCTGCTGTATGAGTTGGAGAACAAGTCACATGCTGAGTATTGGGAAAGGGTTAAGCACATTTCGGATACGTACATCTACCCACAATGCCTGAACCTTTCATCGCAGTGTCAAAAGACATTGGCGAGCAAACTCAGAGAACTGCGTGCACATCTCGATAAAACCGAGGAGAAGAGTCGCCAGACGCCCAAGGCATCAAGGCGTAGAACACACATCTCACAGCAATCGCCGCAGGTACATCATCCATCCACAATACAGGAGCACAAACGCCAATCTCAGTCACAATCACAAGCCACACTAGAACAGTCCTCGTCCGAAGCGTCACCCCTACCTGTCGTAGTGACATCACAGTCCTATATATCGTTTCCCTATCCCCCGACCGAGTCACACGTACGATCAGAATCCTGTGACGGGGATTTGGATGGTGGTATCGTTACAGCCAATGAGAGCGGCCACCCAGGTCTATTAGAGGGCCTTCCTTGCCCTGCAAGTAGGACCTGCCCTACCAGTCGCACGTGCCCCCCGGCACCCACAGGCTTGGCCACGCAAATCAGTGCACCTGGGGGGCTGGTATCGGTCCGCTCGAGTCAGTCCAACCAGACCCAAAGCCGAGGTCCAATGAGTCCTATAACGCGGTCGTTGCACCGGGCGCACAGTGGGTTCAAGAGTGGTCTAGTAACGCTCGACAGCCAACTCAAGAACACCCACGGTGATGGCGCGGAGTACGAGCAAGCACTCAAGGCCATTGACTGGGGAGAGGTCGTCCGCTGGTTTGACAGTGCGAAGAAGGAGCTCACTGACCTGCTGCTGGGTGGGCAGCTGAGAGAGTTCTGCACACAGTCACAGATGCGTATGTTGATACAGAAGCGCATTGCGCAGAACAACACGCTTATGGAACACAGAATTGTACAGAGTAACACCATTGACGGAGAGTCACCCTCGCCCCAGCCCGTGCAGAAGGTGGGCAGTGTGGGAGAGATAGGCATGCTGGATATCGCTATGGGTGAGCGGAGTGTTAGTGTGCACAAGAAGCGCAGCACAATTACGGAGGAGATGTGCACGACTTTGGTGCACGATGGCGCAGGGGACGCACACGCAAGTATTCACGTCAGCCACGATGGCCGGCCACATCGACATGACAGCAAACACAACCGCACCAGCAACAGCACGTTGGATGACGATCTAGTGAGTACGGGTAGCATGGGATCAAATAACACGCTGCACAGTAGTTCATTTAATATGAGCGATCACCCGCGGCTCTTGCCGTCGAGCAACAGAGAGGTCACGGCGAGTGTCACTCGCGTCTTGTCGTCGAGATTAGACCAGCTCACATCCACACGACACGCCAAGCGCACCTCACACCCATACCAACAGACACACCCACACACGCTTTCTCACACCTCGCGCAGTCTGTCCGCGCTGCCGACGTACCTGCGCTCTAGTGTTGCACACGAAAGAAACCCCTCATACGACAGAGAACGGGATGGAGATATAGCCAAGCACAGTTTCAATGCTAGCTCGACGAATAGTGGGCGCGAGCGCTTACGGGCACGCAGAGGCAGCATAAATGGGCCTGGCGCACGCTCGGACATACGAGCACAGACACAGGCACACCCGCGCACATCTTTGTCTTCTAACGTGCGGATGAGCGCTGAGAGTGTTTTGTGGAATGAGCTCGCCATTGCCAGCCAGAATAGCTTCTGTAGTCTACGCGTGGTCAGAACCAGTAGTATTGCGTCAGTAGAGAAAGGGGGTGGCACAGGCAGTCCAATCCATCCCTCAGCCATAGCCAAGCCTGACGGAGGACCGGGTAAGGCCGAGAAGCTACCTACCTCGAATGTAAGTAGAGCTTGCAGCACGGGGGGCTTACCCACCTCTTCGCTGTGTGCATTTGCTCGAGATATAGCACGCGCTGATAAGAACTGCACCAATGTCAGCAGCAGTGTGGGTCCGCATAGCAGCCTGCTCAATGCGGCGCAAACCATTCCGATGGACGATGCTGTGCATAGAGGTGGCGTCATGTCTCCTGCCATAGCGGAATCTGGCCCCATATATATCAGTGATGCAGAGGACTCGCAGGACGAGGACAGTACAACTTGTGTATGAAGGAGGCAGTATAGACGGGTGTAGATTAATACAAACTGTTATTGATATGCAGAAGGGAACGGAAAACAATGCGGAATGTTTTTGAAGAGATTCTCGCATCTGTGCGTAGCTATCCAGTCGAATAGACTGTTGTGTGCCCAAACGAACGAACGTGGGTCAAGACTTCTGATTTTCGAAGATGTAGCGCACATGATCATACATAAAATGATCAAACATAAAATATGTATGGATAATGAAGACTCGCTAATCAGCGCATTGCTGTTCATTACATACACGGACGTAGGCTTGTACGTATGCAAGCCGACTGTTGGAATAATCTATCTCCATACCTGGTTTGAGGGTGAACTGTTAACGTTTGCTACAGAGTGCTGTGTATAGGTGTGCAAGTGGTTGAGCCTTCGGCAAACCAAATTGAAGCGATCTGTCGTAAGTAGTGGGATCGTGTATCCCAAGCGATTATAGCTGGCATCGACTGTCAGCCAAAGCTCCGCGTGGCTGGTATACACCGCTGGGTGTCTACCTGCATATGAGAGAGAGCCGAATAAATTAACACGTCGTGTTCTATATTAAAAGTGATCTGGCAGCACCTGTTTGATATTTTACGGACTTTTAAAACTGGGTGCACACCTGTCCAACCAACTAAACGTTTTATGCGGTGCTGCTATAGGAATACGGGGTATAGAACATCAATATTATCTAACCCAGAGCGAACCAATGCCTTGTGCATCTTTCTAGCAAAGGGTTACGAAGAAGGTTATCACTTCACACAAAAATACACGATCAGTTCTATCAACTTCGATGACCGTTCCATTTTTTATTATCATTCGTAAATATTTTCCACACCATTCTCTGAACATTTTTTTGTCCTGAAGGACATCAGCTGTGTTGTTTTTGTTTTTAAAAAAATATAAAAAAACAACAATGAGTATTTACGGATGTATTTTTATAAAAATAATACACAAAAACATTGCCTTCTCAATTCTCATAAGAACACTAAAACAATTGCAACACAGAAAGTCAGAGACACTGGGAAACGCATATTTATGTATAACTTATGATCGGTCTATGGACTAATTAGTATTTGCAAATGTACTTCATCTAGCGCGTATTTATTTAAAAATACAATCAGTTGTTGCTTAGCCTCTGTCCTAAAACACTAAAAACTAAAAGACAAGAGCCTAGAGGTCAGAGGAGGTTATGTCACTGTGGTTGATTGGTTGTAGTATTTACAATATAACTGATTTTAGTGGAGTGATTTGAGATTTCGGACTGATTTTGCAATACCAATTCACCAAACGAATACCTTTTTAAATACCGACATATTATTGGCTGATGTGAATCTATTTTTATCGGAATAAGAAAAGCCAAATTGAGAGCTGTTCTGAAGTTGCTGAATGCTGGATGCTGATTGCTGTGGACTGAGGTTTGCTTTGCGTTGTTGGGCATATAATAGCATAGCATATATTTTAGCCGACATAGCGTCTCTGAAAAAAATAGCCGGCCCAGCTGGGCTTGCTGAACTATGTATGGGTAAATAATTGATATCTATGTGTGCGCATCTTGCGCGAATGTATATAAAGGACAAGTATATGGCGAATTGAGGTATTCAACCGCTAATTACCTACAACACACTCTCCAGAATCGCCTAGTCGGACTTGATTTTCTTTTTGGCAAAATGGTAGAAGGCGTGCGACGTAGATCTGATGCGGGACCCATGAAGGTACTTAAAATGTGGGCATATGCAGTAATTTGTCTTTTATACTTCATGAGATCGTATAAGCTTCTGAAAATGATTCGAATTGGTTCCTTTTTGGTTCTATCATAGCTTATGGCCAATAAGTTTTCTTGTAAATTTAGTAAATATATACTTGTCTTCATAATATCTTCCCGAATTTTCTGTGCTTGCATATGTTCTCACCAGACAACATGCAATGATTCAAATTCGAAGGCATATTCTTACACATACACACACACACG